CCCAAGAAGTTCAATTTAAAATAGAAGAGTAGTTCGATGAACTTGGCCCGTTTTCTAAATTACTTTTAAACCGTCCAAAATTAGAAAAAACTTTAAACATGAAAAAGTAGCGCATTTTCATAAGATTTCCAATGCCATATCATTTGCCTCAATTGCATTAGCCGTTTAGAAATGGCATCGAAAATACCAACTCGGCTATTCGGTTTGCAAAATTTTATGATTTTCGAAATTACACTTTAACCATAGGGAATTAGAGAAAACTTTCTATATGTGGAAGGAGCGTTTTTGCAGCAGCTTTCCAACGCCATATTATTTGCCTCATTCCGATAAACGGTCTAGAAATGCGATCAAAAACACGATTCACGTTTTTTGTATGAAGAAAAAACGGTTTTCAAAACTACTCTTAAACCGCTTACATTTTGCCAAAAAAATAATTTAGGTCATGATACTGGTGTCCATAGCTTTCCAACGGTATATAGCAAGCCTCATTTGGGCAATTTTGGCGGAAGTTCAACCTAACACAGGGGGAAGTTCAGGTCGAACCACTCAGGCAGTAAAGTTGCAAAAAACACAATTTCATCACGACCCGAGTGCAAAATCCGCCAACGGGTGAGATTCCTATTTAAAACTAGTATTTAGTTGCTAAAAGTTGTTTCTAGATTACACTAACATCATATAGAACACAACTAACCAGAATAAACCGCTTACATGCTCGAGAAGTTCAACTACTTCATGGAGTGCGTTTTCGTTCACGATGAAGGCAGAAATCATGATCTCGCCATTTTCTAATTTACTTCAAAATGGCAGAAATATCATTTGTGTAAGTTCAACTCCTCAGTCAAAAAAATTAAAAAAATTATTGTGAGAGAGGTTTGTACAAAAAGAATATCATTTGTGTAACATTAACGAATGGATGAGAAAATTACAAAGAAAAATACGTCATAGAAGTTCAACGTGAGAACAGCAGAAAGTTCAACTACTACACTGATTGAATTTCAGATGAAAAACTTTTAAAACCATCACGAGTATGAGAAAATAATCAACACGGGAAAGATGCGTGTTTAAATCAGCTTTTCATCGGTATATCACTCGTTGAATTCCGGGGAGTGGATGGAGAACTACGAGTAGTGGATGGAGATCTGCGAGCAAAAAAAAGCACGTCGAAAACAGAGTGAAGTTCAGGTAGATATGCTGAGAAGTTCAGGTTCTTCAAACGGTGCATTTTCAGAGAATCTGTTTCGCGATAGAGGCAGAACGAATGATCCCTCCGTTTTCGAAATTACTTGAAAACGGCTAAGAATCAGAGAAAACCATCAACATGAAAAAGTTTCACATTTTCCGTAGCTTTTCAACAGTATATTATTTACCCAATTCCGATAAAGTTTGTAGAAATTACGGTGAAAATATGTTTTTTGTCATTTTTGAAACTGACTTAAAACCGTAAAGAATTGGGAGAAACAATATATACAAAAAAGTTTCGCATTTATTCAGGCTTTCAAACGCCATATCATTTGCTGCATTAGGACGCATAGTTAAAAAATTAGCTCGAAAATACAAACTCGGTAGGACTTGGACCATTTTCTAAATTACTCTTTAAACCATTCAAAATTAGAAAAAACTTTCAAGATGAAAAAGTAGCGCATTTTCATAAGCTTTCCGACGCCATATCATATGCCTCCATTGGATTAGCCGTTTAGAAATGGCATCGAAAAAACGAACTCAGCTGTCTGATTTACGAAATTTTACGTTTTTTCAAATTACTCTTTAACCATAGGAAATTAGAGAAAACTTTCAACATGTGGAAGGAGCGGTTTTGTAGCAGCTTTCCAACGCCATATTATATGCATCATTCCGATAAACGGTTTACAAATGCGATTAAAAATACGATTCACGTTTTTTGTATGAAGAAAAAACGATTTTCAAAACTGCTCTTAAACCGCTTATATTTTGCCAAAAATTTAAGTTAGGTCATGATATTGGTGGCCATAGCTTTCCAACGGTATATCGCAAGCCCCATTTCGACAATATTGACGGAAGTTCAACCTAGTTCACTGGGAAGTTCAACGTACTACTAGCAGGACAAGTCAGGTTATGATCAGAATATTATCCTGATCCCGTGATCAGAATAGTGTTTATATATATATATATATATATATATATATATATATATATATAGTAACACTAAACTAAGCGTGAGTGTAGAATAACTTATTCTACACCCCTAGTAGTGCTCTATACAAAATATAGTAATGTAGCAAACAAAATATAGTAATTTTTTTAACGACGTAGGAAATTAAAAACTTGGATAGTAAAAAATATATTTCAGAATTACTATATTTTATACGATGTTTTACTAGATTTTGTACATAGCGTTACTGGGGTATAGAATAAGCTATTCTACACTCATGCTTAGAATAGCGTTATATATATATATATAGCTTCAGTGGAAGCAATCGCAATATCTCGGCGTGCCGTCAATATTGATGCTATCATGTACCTCCCGCCAGATGTCCAAATACAGACATATGCGCTAATTATTGTGACCCTTTTTATTTTTTAATGAAAGTTCTCATTGATAACGTAGACATATGAAATCGTCCAGGAGCCGTGTCCAAGGCGATAGCATTAGATAGGCGGGTGTGAACGTGTACAAGGTGTGTGCATGGCTGCATGCAAACGACATAGCACCACATATTCATCAACTACCGCGTCAACTAGCCGACTCCCGCATCAATGCACTTTTGTACCATCACTAGGTGGCATTGTCCAGAGGCTGGTATCTCGCACTGGTGAATGTTCTGATGAACATGATAATTGTATCTCCCGTCGCAACGCACGGGCATATGTGCTAGTGTTTTTATAAAAACACCGCTATTCATACATAGATGGACGAGGGACTCCGCTGACAACATCAATAAATGACTTTTCTCGCGGAATGCTATTAACGTTGAAAAAAAAACTGATACATGAGACATTATACATGTATTCCAGCAAAAGGGACATTTTCGTCCCTCCTGCGAGTGGCATGAGGGGACCCTAGCCGCCTCCTAGTTCTCTCCTCCTACTTCCCTTCTCCTCGTTGCCGTCGGAGCGCGCCACTCGATCGAAGCCCGGGCGGCGTGGGCGGCAGTGGGCCCCCTTCTGCCTCCCACGCGGGCGGCTGCTATTAGCGGAGGCGCGACTCTATGCGGGGTGCCATGGTGCGTCGACGGTGGCAAGAGGCGGCTGTGCGGAGGGCTCCACAACGCCAGTGGGGGGTTATGGTGACGACGGCTATGTAGATACGGTGGTCATGCTCCTGTACGCGACACATGGCGTCGGTGGCGACCTCCTTTCTCCTAGGTTCGAGCCAATGGCGTGCGGGGTTGTGTTGGTGCGACAGTAGCATGGATCCGTTTTGTGGAACCGAGCAAAAATACGAGAAATATTGGGAATTATTTTGGAAACTTTTCCACGAGCAAAAACACTATGTGAAGCCACACCCAATATGCCCCAATCGTGTCCGGTGCTCTCTTCAACATAGATGGTCAACCATCCAATCGTCAGCTGATTTGTTGGTTATCTCAAACAAGTTGTAGGCCGGAACCAAAGCGGCATCGGAGTTCAAACCCATGCTATGTTGGTAGCGGCTTTGTAACATCAAGTGGAGAATAACTCGTTCAATTTTTCACATTGTTGGTCGAAATTGAATGGGAAACCCAAGTGGCAGACCGTCCTCAAGGAAATTGAGAACGACACAAAGAAGATGAAGAAAAACGATGGGTCGAGCTCGACTAAATCAATTGGAGTGGACGAGGAAGGAGACGAAGAAATGGTGGGGCGGACTTGCAACCAACCGTGCCGAAGAGAAACCGATAAGTGATGGGGAACAAGTGGGAGAAGGGGAGGGTGGCGCGTGACGGGGTGGCAAACAAAATGTCCGCCACTTGGACATGCATTTTTTATGCCAAGGTGCTGAAGAAGGAGGTGAGGTACAATATTTTCATTGATGTGCAATGGAAGAAGATGGAGTTAGAACGGGAGAGGTTGATGTTGGAGAAAAACAAAGTCGAATTGGAGAGTCAAGAGAAGGTTGCCAAATGGGAGCTTGAGCAAATTGTGACTGTGCATGGTCTTGAGCTCGAGAAAGAGAGGCTGCGGCTTGCGAAAGAGATGGAGGAGTCGATGATCATGTTGCAGGACATCAACCTCTTGGACGAGAAAGGAAAGAAGTGGTCGCTCCACATGAAGAAGAGGATCAATAACCGCGAGGAGTGAAGTCATTGGTTCATTCATGTATCGCTTGTCATGAACTATTGAATTTTATTCTGGCATGTACTACACTTATTTGGGTTACACTATCTTTCTATCAGTATGATGAATTTGCACTGTATGATCATCATGCGTGAATTTGCATGAATTTGGATGTTGAGATTTGGGAAGTGTGGTTATGGAGAAGGCCAAATGGGGAACTACCCGACGCCGGTTTAAAATGTTTACGAATTTAAAAAATATTCATGCATCTGGAAAAAAGTAATGATTTTTAGTTTAAAAATGTGAAAAACTTCACAAAATAGAAAAAACTTTATGAATTTGAAAATTGTTCATGATTAAAAAAAAGGTTCACAAAATTTAGGAAAAATTCACGAAAATTAAAATTTTAAAAAGCGGCAAATGAAAAATGGAAAAAAGTGAAAACTGACGGAACCGAACAAAAAACGATGAAACACGAAAAACAGAAGAACCCATCCTGAAAAACCGAGGGAACCTCCCAAAACCGGTGCCGGTGCTGGATATACGTTTCGGAAGGAATCGAGCATGTCGCGCCAGGAACGGGCGCCTTAAGCTAAATAGGAATCGGCCTAACAAGCACTTGCCTTCCATGTAAAAATCAAGATTACTACCTTTTTACCTAGCTGATTAGTTTCCAAGTTGAGCAGACGACCCACCTATATAAGGCGGATTATTCTGACGGGGATTTCATACTTCTTTTGACTGTTCATCTTAAACGTCAGGCAGAGATGATGGCGTCTTTCTCGGCGCTGTGCGCTCTTGTCATACTCCTCGCCGCGGCCGGCTCCGTCTCCATCGCATCCGCCTCCGTCGCCGACGCAGGTAGCTTGTCTCTCAATTCTTCGCTGCTCGCATCGGCGGCTCCTCCGCCAAGCTCCGTCCTTCCCCGCAAGGTGCTCCGCCCTGCAGGTAATTCGCATCGATATTCCATGCAAAGAAAAAGCATCCCTCTTCTTCGCGCGAGTTTCAATTATGCCTCGCTCAGCACTGTCTCTTTTCTGCATGCAGGCGTGGGCGCCAACGTGCCGCACCGCGTGAGCCTAGGCTGCGCCGGCGCGGACGACATCGCCATCGAGCAGGGCCCGGGGACGACGCTGCCCAGCGGGATCCCGTCCTACACGGTGGAAATAATCAACCGGTGCTCCGGCGCAGGCCGCGCCGCCTGCGCCATCTCTGGCATCCGCGTGCGCTGCGGCTGGTTCAGCTCCGTCACCCTCGTCGACCCCAGCAAGTTCCGCCGGGTGGCGCCCAACGACTGCCTCGTCAACGACGGCAAGCCGCTCTTGGCTGACGACACCATCTCGTTCGAGTACGCCAACTCGTTCGAATACAAGCTCTCCGTCGCCAAGGCCACCTGCGTCCACCCGCCCGCCGACACCTCCGACTAGTCCTATGCACGGCCTAGCTAGCTAGCACTTTCGAGTTTCGACGCTTACCGTAGTATGCAGAAGTTCTTATTGTATGCAGAAGTTAGTAGTATGGAAGAACAATATCATCGGACAAAAATATAAGGTGTTTGCATGATTTTTATACTATTATAAACACGACATACTATTCCCCATGTCGAACGACAAACCCGCAATTTGCCACTTCAACGGGTTCAGCTTGAGTGCATGTTGCATTAGGCGACGAATACGATTCTGAGGTGTTGAAGATGTTATTCATAGGATACCACCTTTACAAGAGATCATCTACATAGCACTCACAATCTTATGTATTATCTCATTGAAGAAAGTTTTGATGTGCATCTGTGATGTGTATTGTGCTTGTAATTAAGGCTTGGATCGACAAGAGAAAGGAAGCTTTTGAGAGGTCGATTATCTTCAACTCATGCTAATTGTCGAATACTTCTCATGTTTCCCTACTAACAAAAGACTAAGTCGACCCCCAATCCACACTACTGGAATTCTGAGCTACGCCGAGTGCCACGGACACTCGGCAAAGGGCCAAAAACCGCCGGCAAAGCCTTTGCCGAGTGTCACCCTCGGCAAAAGCCACCCGGCGTACACCTCTTCGGCAAACATGAATTTGCCGAGAGCCAGAACACGGGCACTCGACAAAGACTTTGTCGAGAGACAAACAGTACCACTCGGCAAAATAAAGTAGCTAACAGATAGTAGATGGTGACGGCGGTTCCTGACACGTGGGACCAGGCGAACAGGCCGAGGGTCAACTTTGCCGAGAGCCACTCTCGGCAAAGCCACCCAGTAGGTGGCTGACACGTGTCAGCTCCTGACATATGGGACCAGGCGAACATGCCGAGTGCCAACTTTGCCGAGAGCCACTCTCGGCAAAGCCACCCAGTAGGTGGCTGACACGTGTCAGCTCCTGACATGTGGGACCAGGCGAACAGGCCGAGTGCCAACTTTGCCGAAAGCCACTCTCGGCAAAGCCACGCAATAGGTGGCTGACACGTGTCAGCTCTTGACATGTGGGACCAGGCGAACAGGCCGAGGGCCAGCTTTGCCGAGAGCCACTCTCGGCAAAGCCACCCAGTAGGTGGCTGACACGTGTCAGCTCCTGACATGTGGGACCAGGCGAACAGGCCGAGTGCCAACTTTGCCGAGTGCCGCTCTCGGCAAAGGGAGCCAGTAGCAGGCTGACACATGTCAGTTCCGACACGTGGGGCCAAGAGAAACAGGCCGAGGGCCATCTTTGCCGAGAGCCACGCTCGACAAACTCTATCTTTGCCGAGTGTGGCTCTCGGCAAACTGAGCCAATAGGGGAGGGCCACGTCACTTCTCCTAAAAGCCGTGAAAATACTTTGCCAAGAGCCACCGTCGGCAATCATTTTTCGTTTACCGAGAGGCCTCTCGGTAAAGCTGCCAGGAGGGCTACAGGTTATTATCCTTTACCGAGAGGCCTCTTGGTAAAGTTGTCAGGGTATACTGTTTGGTATACGTTTACCGAGAGGCCTCTTGGTAAAGGGTGCATTCTGGTCCAGTTTCACAGTCATTGCCGAGAGCCGCCCTCGGCAATGGTGTGCCCAGGAGCCTTTTTCCCCTGTTTTTGTTTCTTTCCTGCAACGAAACATATACAACAGCATATAGTTCATCACACATAGAACATGTCATATATAGGCATCATTGAACAAAAGAAGCAATGATTGATTCTGAAAAACATTCCACATAAAAGCAATAGTGCATAAAAGCAATAGACCACAAGTTTACAAGTCTCAAGATGCAAGAGTTCTCAACATACAAGGAACAGTTTCAAACATAACATAACATGAAGTTCACGCGATTTTGGAGATCAGAGTGATAACATCAACATTAGAAGGCATCATTCCGTTTGCTGCCCCAACTCCATCAACCAGAGTGATAACATCAACATTAGAAGGCATCATTCCCTTTGCTGCCCCAACTCCACCAACTTGAGGTGGAACTACCAGAACATTGTTCGACCCTTGTGATGGGTTGAGCTGTGATGGATTGACCCAATAGTGAGATGAATGCATATGGTAATGCCGAAAATGGTGATAGAAATAGTTTGAACGAAACTCACAATGTTCCACTCTGGCGTCGGTGGCATCTCTGGCACTGGTTGGCCTTGCATGGAATAAAGATTTGTTGTAAAGACTTCACTAGATCATCTTGTGCCTTCAGCTTGGACCGGTTTTCATCTTGTTCTTTCTCGGTGTCAATCAGTCGAGTCTACAATATGGCAATGCAAATGTCATTCATGTTGAAATACAAATATGCAGGACCATGAAGGATCAATGAAGAAGCACTGACATGAATATCCTCAATAATGCTCACGGAATGTGGTACGTGACGCTCTACGGTAGGAGTAGAGCCAGTACTCATAGCACGGAGCATGTTGACTCTCGGAAGGGAGGAGGTTATGACAGAATCGAGGTGAACCGCCATCTGGCCATTCGGTCTACCGCCTGCCACGGCAATGGCCACAAGAGGGTCAAACGGTAGCACGCGAGGATCAGCGTCAGGCCCGTACGTCTCCTTCAATTTTTTGGTGTAGTTCTCTCCATCTGACCGGGCTTTAGAGCTGATCCAGTCCCTCTCCAGGTGGAGAGGGTCCTTGTCCTTGTCGTCTTTGGTACATTTGATGGTCCATGCCTCGAAGTAAGTGATATCCTTGCCAGTGTCTCCTTTTTGCAAAAGAAAGCGATCCAAACAATTAAGGGAATGCTCACAAATGAAAGAGAACATGATGAAAAGAAAAGGATGTGGTTGCCTACATGTTTTGAGACGACAACTGGGATGGTGAGGTTGCCTTGACGGTGTCCTCGACCCCCCATCAACTTACGCCGTTCAGATATTACTTTGTGTTCATCCTGCCACCCTGGATCTGTCCACCGTTCGACGATCTTCTCCCAGCACGGACGTTTTTCAGCGCACCACCGAGGAATCACCTGTAAATTAAAAAAATACATCTTAGTAAGGATTCTAATTTTGCGGTAATGTAGGGAATAACAAGCATCCATCGTCACTTGCCTTGAAGTAATTGTCCCGTGAAAGATGCATCCCTCGAGCCTCCCGTTTGGAAATCCTATGGTTGAGATAGTCCGCGTGATACTTGACCACTAACCGGACGCACTCCTCATAGTGCATGTCGTGGACTAGTTTCTTAGCAATATTCTCAACCACCACATTTGCACGATCCTTCCGACCCTCAACGCATGTATAGAAATCCTACAAACATGCATACATGTGAGAAGGGTTAAATCATGACTATGGCAAATTTAAACCTTTTGGTATTGACATTTAGGTGTTTGAAAGGACTTACCCAGAAATCGTTGACCACTCGCATGGCTCTGTTATCATAAACCCTCTGACGCATATCCAGGAAATCCGGTGCAAGTTTGTAGTGATCCCATGACCAAGATGGCTCAATGATATTGTTCGGCAAAGTGACCAGTCCAGGATAATTTAACCTACAAAGACCCCCAATGATGCCACTCGACGACCGTGTCAGACGCCTCTCACCACCTTTTACTAAGCTTCTGCATTTCGAAGAGTGAAGTCATATTATATGTGAGGAAATGACAAAAGGTACAATTTATATGGGATGAGTCGAGATAACCACTTACTTCTCTCCCATTGGTTTAATCAACACGTCTCTATGCACAGATGGACGTCTTGGAAGCTTTGAAGGACCATGCAGCCACACTTTCCCTCTGAAAGTAGTGCTGATAGTCGAACCACTCGGTTGCGAACCGCTCACCTCGTGGTGCTCTGTCACCCGTGAGGGTCCATCCCCACCCTCAGAAACCTGACGAACAACCAGCCTCCTCTTGGCAGTGTCGTCCTCCACCACCTCCTCCTCCTCATCCTCCACCACCTCCTCCGCAAAATCCTCCTCGTCCTCCTCCTCACATGCCTCATCCCCATCCTTTGTTTCCTCCTCCTGAGCACGGTGAAGCACTACATCAGAGGGCCGAGGAGAAGAAAGAGGTGCTCTACTCCGGGCTGCTTTATGTACTCCTCCTTCTGCCTCACATACTCCGCCTCCTCGTCCGCCGCCTCCTCTTGCC